TAGTAGATGCAATGGCAGACGGGCACAGGGAGCATGCTAGTAGTAGATGCTGTGGCAGCCCTGGCAGACGGGCAGAGAACTCCTCCTCAGGTGACCTGTGATCTGTGCATTTTCAACAGAGGCATCCATTACTAGCTTGAAGCAAGCGGCGCTGGTCAAAGCCCCTCTCATCCCAACACTGAACGCCATCGTGCAGTACCTGGATCTCACACCCAACCAGGAGTACTTGTTTGAAAGAATCAAAGGTAACTTGATCTCGTGAACAAAGGTCCCAATGCGTTTTTGAAAGCACGCCCAAAGTATGATTTTCTGGTTTTGAGCGAGCTCTGTCATGACGGCTCCGTGAAGATTTGTGCTGGACACCTTTCGGGTTTTCTGTCACCTGTCCGCAGACTTGCCTCAAGATACAGTTTCAATGTATTAACTAAGAAAAGGGACCTATTCGCTGTAAGCCAAACAGGCTCAAGTGAACTCTTTGCTCAGTCCTCCAGCTTAGCGTGCCCAGCCAGAGTGGGGGCCACTGGGACTCCCATGCTCACCTCTGCTCCCTTGCTTGATGAAAACTGCATGTATTTTGCTGCTGTTGAGAACATACACCAATTGGACGGTTTCTGCACGTGTTAGTCAGTGGTGGGCATTCCGTCCGCCCCTGTGAGCCACTCCTCCCCCACCCACATGTGTTTCTCTGACCTTGAATAATTCATACTTGACAGGTTACTTCCTTGGGTTTCCGTTGTATTCTTATCATCTGGGGAGAAATGTGATCTTTGGAGACCTACTTGAGAATCAGGAAATTGAGCCCCCAACCCTGCCCCACACTTCCTTTTTGCCTTCTACTTAGGGAATAATTCATACCATTGGAATTTCTTTCTTTCCTTTTTTTTTTTTTTTTTAATATGGGTAAACGTTTAAAGGGTTCTCATCACTAAAACAAGTTCTATAAGTAGGATTTTGGTATTCAGGTTGATCAGATGTCCTCATATGGAAATATTCTAGTGTTTCTCCACCCCGACCCCCAAGTTTAGAGTGGGGTTCAGAAATAAGCACTTTCTGTATGCCTTTTTTTTTTTAAGTTTTCATACAAAGAGAATCTCAGCTATCCACGAGCCTGGGGAAACTGGGTGCTCACCCACTGGCATGCATCACCCAGCAGCTGTCGGTCTGTGCAGCCCTGCCCTCACTACATACAGCTCATCTCCACCTCTCTGAAAGATAAGGCCTTTGGAAACTATCCCCACAAGTCTAATGCTTTCTTTATATCAGCCACCTCCTAAGATGTATCCTTACTTTTTCTTTTTGTAATTGTTTGAGTCAGAGTTCATATAATAGCTACACATTGAGATTGGTTGATACCTTTTAAGCCCCAGGTTTCCCTTCATCCCCCCCACCAAAGTTTGTTTGTTCAAAGAACTGGATCGTGTGCCCTTAGCATTCGGCGTGATCTCGAATTGACTGGTCTCCCTGTGGGTAGTTTCACCTGATCTCTTGTCCTCTGGATTTCCTGGAAATGCAGATTTGAGTGTTTGGACAAGATGGCTTCATGGATAAGAGGATATTCTTATCTATGAAATAGTTCTCATGCAGGCGTGCGTGTGCATGTATGTGTCTGAGAGAGAGAGAACACACGCCCGTACGGAGCACGCCGCGGTTGATGCCGTGTGCCGTCAGTCCAGTCTAACTCAGCAACCCTGTGGGACAGAGCAGGGCTGCCCCCGAGCACGAGCAGGTGAACCCCCTCGCCATGATTCTTGGGGTTAGTCTGTATAAAAAGCCCAGCTGAGTATTAAAAGTAACCTGGTGAGTGCTTGCCTTCCGGGTGGAACACTTCCAATGTCTTGCCATTTTGTTGTTGTTAGCCAGCATGCCAGTTTATGGTGTTTTTAATTCACCAGTTGGGAGGTAATGCGTCTGTCATTCCACAGTTCAACCCCATCAAGCAGGATTGTACAGTTACTACCACAGTCCATTTCCAAACATCCCTTTTACCTCCCTCTCCCGCCCCCCAAAACCCTTATTCTACTTGCTGTCCCTATAGATTCATCAGTCCTGGGTTTCATATACCGAAACACAGAAAAACATATAACATGCTCCAAGAGGTTGAGCCCCAATGACATAACACACCCAAGATAGCCCCTAAAATGAACAACGAAAGCAAAGCAAAAATGCAGAAAAGGTTAAAAACCAGATCAGGTTTAACGTGCATTAGAGAGGGGGTCAGCTGACCAAGTTTTAAGTGTTCAAGTCAGGTTTATGCCTTTGATCGTGTATACTTACCTCTCCAATGCCCTCTGTCTATTAACGACTTTCCTCCCATCCTTCTAGTACGGATGGAGGGAGATCACTGGAGGGCTCGTTCCTACATTTGTTTCCACAAATGCCTCTTGGGCTCCCACTGTCAGCCATAGCCTTCTGCAAACTGGATTCGCACACTTTAGGCTCTGATACTATTTCCTCCTTTGACTTTGGATTATTTGATTTACAATCCTTGGGTGGCTGATGCTGGTGTGCCTCTTCCATGCGGACTTAGTTGACCTCTCACTTACATGGCTGCTTGTTTGGAGACAGCCTTTAAGACCCCAGGCACTATTTTATTTAGTACCTGAGCACGATCTAAATTCTTCACCGCATTTTGCTATAGCACCCATATCTTCTGTGTTCCCTTCCTGAGGGCGAGTATCAAGCAGGGCCGAGATGTAAGAACTAACTGTTCTTAGTTGGAGCTAGGAATTAGTCCAAACCCCAAACCCATTCTTGGATCTGTGGGTTTTGTTGTTTGTTTTTTATCTGCCTTTGGCTCCCTTTTAAAACAAAATCTCCTTGTTAATTTATGGTAAACACAATTTATCGGTCATCCCCCTGAGGTGTCTTGCCATTTTTATCCTCTTTACATATACCTGCACACATTTAACAATCACTTGTTCCATTTTTTACAGTTTATTCATACTAATTTTGCTATAATATTTGAAAGTGACAGGCATCATTACCTTCCAGCATGCATTTCCTAAAAATAAGAGCATTCTTTTGCTGACCACATTACAATTGCTGCACCTTGAAGATGACCAGTGACTGTCTGAGGTCGTCCGATTCTCAGCCCGGAGTCAAACCTCCGAGTTGGCCGGGAACA